CTTTAACATGACGAAAGAGAGAAAAACTTTCATAAAGATTTTATTAATGCACTCTAATTCTTTTTGTTCTTTTTAATAATATGTAACCGTATAGCGGATTATTTTTATGGTCCAATTTATCCCTACAGGTGGTCCAATATGTCCATATACAGAGTGTTCCATAATAATCGCCCATCCTCTCGTGTGCAGGTAGAGGATCGAATCGAGTAGAAAAGTTTTGTAGTTTGTAATATATATTTTGTCTACCTGCACACGAGAGGATGGGCGATTAATATAGGACACCCTGTATACTAGATACAAGGTACCCGTGTAGATATTTATAACGAGATTAATGGCACGAATTTGACACATCGATTCAACGCACATGATTCAATGAGAACTGCTTCACTATTTATGCAATATATTTCTTTTTTATATTAAATATTGTTCAAGTGGTGAATGTACGTGGAATGAACCACGCGAGACATGGATAAGAAGGCACACGGACAATAACTCGATAATTTAGAAACCCAAGTAATATTCGGATAAATTTTAAATAAATTAATTCATTATTAATTAGCGATATAATAATGAATTTATGCGAATTTTTCTAGTGTTGATACGATACTTAATTGATTTACTTAATTGACCATTTTTTAAGATTTAATTACGAGATCTTAAACAAATATGTAATCTACATGTTATAGTATTTTAAAATTATAATTTAGAAGTAATTACCTATTTCTCAATATATATAAATTAGTACTTTTTATTTACAATATTTTTAGTGTTCGTCGGAGAAATTCGTCACTCGCACGAATAAATTTTCGAAGCTTCGAAGCTTCGAATTTAACTTCGAACTTCGAAGTTTCGAAGATTCGAAGCTTCGAAGATTTCGAAGTTAACTTCGAATTACTTCGAAATCTTCGAAGCTTCGAAGTTATGAAAAGTAACAGCTCTAATTTAAAGTCATGTTCATAAGTTAACCGGTGCTTGCTTACTACCAATAATATTATTTTAGTAGAATACATTGTACAGTGTCTACCTACTTATTTATAATATAATACCTACTTATTTATAATAATATTAATGAAAAATAATTATTAAAATACATTTGACAAACATCGTAGGCCCATTGAGACGTAAACACAGTTTACAAGAAAATATTCCCTCGACGTGGACCCGCGCACGCTACTACGGCGCTGGTACGGCGCTAGTACGGTACGCCACCACTACGCGGCGAACACGCTCAACGCTAACTCGTATTTAAGATTAGTTTACCGAGGCATATAAGGCGTGCCGGGGAAACCGTAGCTGCCGGTTGTGGCGGTGTGATACCACTTGCGATGTTATTCTCTTCGTTGGGTTACCGATCTTTAGCGTCGATTTAGAATATGTCTTCGTTGGATTGTCGATTTTTTGATATCGATCTGGGAAATGTTTTTTTTTCTTTGGATTAGCAATCTTTAGAATCGATCTAAACGTTGTTTCTTCGTTGGATTATAGATTTGGAAGTTTACTTTTAAATGTAAGTTCCCTCTTATGAACAGCTAGATATCTTAATAGGAGATAGCGGAGTTTCTGCTAAATTAATACGGATCATCTGTTTATTCCACCATGAATTTATTGCCCTTGGAGTGATATCTGTTTAATGACAAATTGATTGTTAGATCGTGTAATCGTTGTGAAAAAAAATTGTGATTGAGTTGGACGTTGAAAACCTGCTATCGCATAATAGAACTTTCCTCTATTTGAGTTTGATTTCGATCATTGGTCTTGTGGTTTTTCTTAGCGTTGATTTTAAGAAAGGTAAAAGAAATATGCCAAGTATAAGCGCCATTTAATCATGATTTATATAATATAAAAGATAACACTCGTATTCTGTTTGACAATAACAATAATGTAAATAAGGAGGCCAAGTTTAACGAACTATTCGGTTGACAGTATCGATAGATATATTTTTTCTAATGAATACGGTTATAATTATATCTAAAGATATAGAACTATGATGACAACGGTCTATATCAGGTTAATGGGCCTATATAGAATTGTGTTAGGTTGTTTTAGAAAATTGTTCAAATTATCTCCATAATCAATAGAACAAACGAACAGTTATGGTACCGAAATTTTTTGTATGATATGTAATGTGTGGTACCTTAATTATATATCTGGTGACCGTTTCTGCTATGATGATTCGTCAGATGATATTATAAATCGCTCTTGACTCTTTCGCGTCTCAAAAAGAAGTGAATCATATTAGAAGGCAGTCGAAAGTTGAGGCATGGTCATTTGATATTGGTATTGTTTATAGGTTAAACGATTTACTTTTAATTTTATACAGACTGTAAAAATTCAATGGAAGAGGCATTAAGATTTTCAGTATGTCAGGCAGTAAGATTTTCATTGTGAGAGTTAATTCCATTGGTCTAATTTTTAATATGGATCATTTAACTTATGGTTTTCTTACGCCGATTTGGTTCTCTGTCCAGAACTGAAACATTGTCCCAATCGAAACAAAGATTAAATTTGAGTATATGTTGTGATATTATAGAGTGTTTTGATGGTTCTGATTTAATATTGTTAGTACGTTCTTTGAGTCTTGTCTGCAATTTCCTTTTTGTCTGTCCTACGTAAGAGGCATCACAGTCTGCGCATGGAATTTTATATACGACATTAATGGTATTCAATTTATTTATTTTGTCTTTCAGTGTACCAATGAATCTGGTCAATTTATTTATATATCTAAACCCTAATATCAATTTAGATTTGTCATTTAACGGTTAAATCAGTTTTTGGATTGAATTGAGGAAGGAGAGAACTAAAAATCTTTTCTTTGGTCTCTTCGGGTTTATCATTGTTATCAATTGTTCGATTATGTCTATTTTGTAAAATATGTATTCTATTATTAATTTTGCTGAAAATGAGACGAAGATGGTGAGCATTGTCTAGTAGTACGTTAATACAGAGATTAAGATTTTTCGCGTGAAAGGTTGGATGTGATAACAATAATGCTCGATGTACTAAATTGCATAAAGCACCTATTTTGTGGTTCATAGGATAGTTGAAATAAAACGAAAATGTGCCAGAAAATGTTTCTCTATGGAATCAATCTATTAAGTGTCTAGGAGAAATCTTATAAGTCGCCAGAAGTAATTTAAAATTTCAGAAGATTACTTGACCAGTAGGGTGACATCCAATGAGAGCTAAGCACACTTTACCTCGTCGCCTCTCTCACAATGACTTCCCCTGCGAGCTAACGCTCCATCTCTGAATTCCTGTATCTATGCATACTTACAACAAAGTCATTTGACATCTACTCAAAAACACTGACCACAACCGTTATATCCACTTGTCTCAGCAACGTGTTTTTAACTTGTAACTAATCTTGTTCGTTTCACTTGATCTACAATGTATTATCTATCGACAATTATGTACTAGATTATTTTTATTATTTAATTTATTATAAATTTGCGCTGATGTGAAAGCACTGTGTGCTGAAACATGTCCGCTATTTTATATTTTATACAATTGTAACAACATTGATTTAAATATATATTATATTG